TCATGTAATAACATGAATTGAAATAGATAAAACCTACTTGATATACGGATTATTATGTACCATTGGATGAGGAACTGAGTCGAGATATCCCACCAACTTCACGTTGTAATCCAACTGAGTAGCCAGGGAATATGCATGGTAGCACATACGAGGACTACGCCCAATATCGCCAAGGACGACAACAGCGGCCGTGTGACGTCTAGAAGAGAGGTCTTGTTATAGAATTTGATAATTGTAGACTTACAAAATGCAATTTTCACGCCTTCAATGTGAGGATAAAAATGGAGATCAGTGTAAAAAGCATGTAAACAATCAACATTACGATGCTATGTACTCGTGATCGTTCATCCTTCAACTGTGATGTAACGCTAGCTATCAAGAAGAAAGAGAAGGATGATTGAAGACAATAAAAAAATATTATTACCGTTTCATTACTGATTTGGCGTTGATTTCTCCTGTTTTTCAGCTTCTCGAGCCTTTTCCAGCTCTTCTAAAAACAATTTTTCTCTAATAATAACAGAAAATCTACTACAGTAATCCAAATCACAACTTACTCTTGTTCTCAGCTCGAGCAGTAGCTATAGGCTCGCGGAAAAACACGGATATGCCCACAGGTCTTTTGTATACAAAATTATCCTACAAATATAACGACGCAGATGCAACAATATGAAGCAAAAAGAAAGAAAGTACAAACCTTACACCTAGCTAGAAGTTTGGCTTCTCGTTCTAACTCCTCAACTGCAGTTAGTTCGCGAAAAAGATCAGAGCTCATCCACTACCCTAGAACGGCTTGATAGAATAGCCGACCTTTGATTGTTTATTGGTTCAAGTATGTATGTTACCGCATGTGATAGCGGCGGTTCAAAATTCTTTGAAAAAGCTTGGTAGATCTGTCAAAAAAGCGTGGAATTCGAGAATGCAGAAATTCTCACTTTTTATACAAAACTTGATTTTATAAGAAGAAAAAAGTGTAAAGATGTTTCTCCTGTTCCCTCCAGTGCAGGTTATAAAAAAATTTCCATATGGAGAACGGAAGAAAAACCGTTTGAAAAGGGATGGCGCAGATGGAGTGAGCCACGCTCCTTCTGCAGCAACTGGATGAATATTTTCATCAAACATGAGGAATATTTCAATAGTAATGCCCTTTCAAATCATTTAAATCATTGCTTATATTAAGCAATTTAAGAGTCACAAAGACGTCAACCTTACACATATTTTACACTCAATTCCTCAAATAAAATTAGAAAACTGTGGGTTTTACCGCACGCCTGTGAGCCTCAATAGTTGAGATATTCAAAGCAAGTATAATTGTTAACGTGCCTCAAAAGCCAAGCCCACCGTGCCGTTATGTTATTTTTAGGGGAACTGTATACAACGATTTATAATACAACCATTTTCATAATATAATATTGAATGTATCTTAGCAGCGTGAACATCGTTACTAGAGCCTGGCCCAGTAGCTGCCAGCATCTTTGTATAAGTGAATTCGATAACGATGCAAAATTAGGCCAATTAATGAGGCATGTGGATTTTTCAAAGAAGATAAATCCAATTTTCTCTTCTCAATTGAATTCTTATGAGTTTTTATTGCGTAAGATGTTTATAAACCAAAAAACATTTGAGAATAAGATTAAAGAAAGAATCTTCAGAACTAAAAACATATCTGGACTGCAGACGCATAATTGAACAATAAAAGGTTACTGTCTGAGTTTATCGCTCAAGATGGAGGAAATCGTAGCAAGACTTTGTAAGTATTAATTCAAGGAATTACCCTAGTAATCTACAAGTTACAAATGATCATGTTTTTATCGAAAAATCAACAAAGACCTTGTACTTCACAGCTTTTCGAACAACACAACACTTCGAAGGTTAGATTATGTAGATGCAAAGACCACTGTGCCACAAATCAACCAGAAACAAGTTTCTGAGAGATCGTTGAGGAGAACTTCATCAAAGACTAAACATAACTCTACACAAGTCAATTGAACATCGATTAACAACAAACAAAATCACTTCTTGTTGTACAAATCCAACGTTACTT